TTATTGCACAAAGCATAGCAACAATTTATGTTAAGTTATTCTGTTGAGGCACACTGAGTGCTATTTACTTTTTGAGACAGTCAGTCCAGTAGTGTGGTATTATAAGATCACTAGAAATTCAGCAGAGGAATCTGATGAGCAGCGTTAGATCCAAGTAGTCCAAATTTTTCCCACCATTCTCAGGGAACAAAGCTAGATTTATTTTTAGATTTGCACTGCCAGGTTTGGTTTTTCAGATATGATAATATAGAGGTGATGTTATGACATGCGGTAGTATATTCTTAGTGTTTTTCATTTGGATAGCATTTATTTTGTATTTTAGTTTCATTGTTCCAAATTGCAGGCAAAAATACTAGTTTTACAAGGGACTCTGTCAGTGACAACACACTTAACATTTTCAACCACTTCACAGTATTTTATTTCTCTGGAAAATAAATCTGTTCGCCCTGCTTTCAGAAAAATGATGTCTAGGATCAAGTGAATCATAGGAGTTTGTTACCAGAATAGGAGTACCATTCTATTACACAGGCAGTATAGTATAATGACAGTATGTTATACTCTTAGTGTGGACATAAATGTACTAGCAGTGTGTCAATAGGGCAATTCGTTCTTCCTCTTCAGACAGAAGAAGGCATGAAGGTAAATATATACAGCTGTACTAACCACTTCTGCCGGGGCTCACACCTCCTCTCCTGCCTGGTTGATAGAACTGCACCAAGAGAAAATTGTGATCCTGACTTTGTAAGGGTTTTTCTTTTAAGAATAATGTGTTAAAAGTTTAAGGTGTCAGTCTGTATCCTCACTAATGAATGATCACACTATTTTTACACAAATCTTGGTTATTTTACATGCAAACTTGAGACTGTTCCTCAGACCATTTGTACAGTTATGAGATCTCATTTTTCTTTATTTAAATGCGTATCTCCTGTGTAAAGAAAAAAGGTTAGTCACACCCATAATTATTACCCAAAATCTAATTTATTGATAATACACAAAAATCCTCCAGCGGAAAGAACACAGCAGAGACTGTATTCCTTAACATTTGTTGGAGAGATTCTCTGGGACTAATTTTGCAGGTTCTTTCTACTTTATGTTACAGCATGTCTCTCTGGCCTTCTTGGCTGCTCTTTTATTGATTACTTCTTTACAACTTAGGATGATATTATAATGCTTCTAATTAGTTGTATTTAAATTCCTTTTGTTCTCAGCCTCTCTCAGATCATTAGTAAGAACTGCTTTTCAGCTAGTATTTCTGTGTGAATTTATCCCTTTGTCAGAACTGAAAAAAATGGCTGGTCTTAGGTTTTTTTGGATTTGTTATGTCTAGTGTAACACAACTTTCTAGGCAGCAACTGCAAGTCCACACTTCTCCTTTCTTACCGACATTTTTGAATACATTTGGTTTTAATAAGGCTTCAGCTTTTCACTGGTAAATCCTTGGTTTCTTTTGCTTTTGCGGAGGACACCAAGTTGTTTTAAACAGTTGTATGACAAGGCAGGTTGTATAACATATACACATTACTGTGTGTAAGCTAAAATCAACATGTATATGTAATATGCTTCCTGTCCGTGTAATGCTCCTCAAAAAAATTAGATCAATTTGAGGCTCTCCAGCAGGCTTGCTGCTGTCATGTTGCACATTGCATCTCTCATAAGGCATCTCTCAAGAGTTCCATCAAGTCATAGGAACTAATGTTACTTCTTCAGTTTTTCTTACTCTCATTATCTCACTGGTATGTTGCCTGACACACTGGCCTTCCATGCAGCACAGTTCTGTGTCTTTTTTTTTAAGCAGTTTTTGGGGTACACACTGCACTGAACGGTGCTACTAATGTACTGCATTAGTAACTCTGGTACTTGCTGCTGGAATCTAGGAGCACTAGAGAGTATAATGCAAATTCCCTTGACTTCATGGGCAGCAGAACCCATGAGAAGGGATAGGAGGTGATGGCAAATACAGTGGTGGAAAAGGGTAGAAAAGAGAAGGGGTCTTTTTGTGCAGTGCGTTCTCCCTAAGCAACTATTCTCTGCCTTCTCCAGACAAAGAGAGAGTTGGGAGCTGTTGCACTATTGCATCAGCGCCACGGAGCAGTCCATGCACTGCTTCTCAAGTACCAATGTTAATGTCTCCGATATCAGCTGGTGCTCAGTGTCAACTAATATTTCTGATATGAGAAAAGCCCCAGTGAGCCAGCAAGGGAAAAAAATTAAAATGTTGTTCTTCATTACAAATCAACCAAAACTGGAAAAAAGTCAGGTGTTTACAAGCCTCCTCTATCTGTTCTTTGGGGTGATTGGAATACATCTGTCATGGCAAAGGAGGATCAGGTGACGGGGGTCTCAGAGGGCTAGTAAATCATTGCAGCCATTTTGGCAAAAGGGGATAGCGTGACCATTCTCACAGTCTCCCTTAGCAAGTACACTGTAGGAAATTAGTATTGTTTTTCCTTATCGATTTTCTTGCACACTTCATTTTTTTCAGATCAATGCAGTAAGGAACCCTTTCTTAGATAGTACATAACCTTTCTTTAGAAACATTTTGTATCAATGAGCTTATACCATAAAAAATGTGAGAAATTAATTTTTAAATACAAACGTAAGATTTTCTTATAGGTTTGGGTGGTCTTTATCTGCTTGATTCTTAGCTTCTTGGCAAAGATGTTGCAGTCATACTTACCACAATTATATTACTCTTTGTACAATGTGTTTTGGTGTTTACTAAGGTTTGAAGTGCTGCATTGCTCTTTGTTGTATACATTTTAAAAATAATCATATCTAATCAGAAGAACAGAACAGTGTTAAAATATAGAAAAATGTGTTGCTGATCACTAAAATCCCTCTTCCGCTTGTTGTTGTAGCACTCACTAACATTTCACCAACTTCAGTACTTGAAGGGATATCCTTTAGCTTCTAGGATGAGAGTTGATTTTTTTTCTACACAGGAACCAGCTTTGCTTATTCGGAAAGGCATTGTCAAAACAACTAAAGGGATGTAGGTGCTCAAATGCTAATGATTCTTTTTTGTTTAATACGAGCCTTTGAAAGTAAATGAGACAAGCAAGGATACTAAGAGGAACATAGCACCATTTCTCTTAAAATTTGGCATAGTGAATAGGGGTTTAGATGAAATTGTGCCCATTCTGTGCAATGTTCAGGGAAAGGAACTCACAAATGTTGTTGATATTTCGATAGAATATGATTCTTTCTTTTTTATTCTGTTATGTTCCTCGCCACTTCCTAGGATCCCCCTGGAGATAATTAGATATCATGCTGAAACTCCTTCACACAAACTGAATTTTGAAGAAAGGAAGCAGCTGGATGAGGATGTGTCTGTTGCTGAGGTTGAACACTCAGCCTGTGCCCTTGAACAAAGCCCCCGATCTCAAAGGACTTTCTGTTGAAATATATGAATAGTTCCAGCTTATTTTGGAAAATTTCCTAACTAAAAGTTGAATGAATCATCCACATCAGTTTTATATCTGCTGTTAGCTCAGTTAATAGCCATGTATTAAGAAACATGATAAGAATCATGAAAGTTGTGTCTCCTGCAGAGCCATCTCATTATGCAGCACAGATACTAAATTGCTTTCTAAACTTTAATTCTGAACAATTCTTTCCGGTTTTGTTAATCAAGACTGAACTGCTTTTACAGTAAGGAAAAGGATGTGACTTACACATTGGAAGACTACATGTAATAGCACACTATATGTTGTATTCATCTGAATATAGAAATAGTTTTTCACCATGTACAGTGGAGCTATCATGGCATGGTAACCAAGAAATAAATTTATCTTGGTATATTTACATTCATTTTTTCATTGGATACAATACACATCAAAGAGAGTTAACTGAACATGATACTTATATACCGAATCTTAAAGATTAATTCTGAGATAGAAATAACCTGATGTTTAAAATGAAGGCAGAAGCTCCAAGCTTGTCCTTACCTATAGTATTGACCTTCCATTGTTTTGAATAGAAATATTTAGTGTGCTTGCATAAGTCTGATTTTGTTATGCTTATTACCTGCTGTTTACTTAAGTTAGAAAGTATGGATTACCTGCTGACCAAAAATAATTAAATTATACCTGGGTGTGTATCCTTTCGTATGTGGAGGGAAAAATCGTGTTCAGTAGTTCTTATGTTGCCTTACCCAATGTGAGAGGAAGAAAAATATCACATGAATGTTTTGCAGTCCAGTCCAACCACTCTGAATTCAGATCGAAGCCTTGATCAGTAGATTGTTGTCATTTAAAGACCTGTTGCCAGGGATGAAGAACAGCCGAATGTCGGCAGAGTTTCAAGCAGCCATGTTTTGTTTCTCAGCCCATGAGACAGCAGCATGTGCTGTGCTGATTGACCGAGGCCTCTAGCAGGGGTCCAAGGACTGACTTAGCCTCATATCGTTAAATCTGTAGCAGACAAATCAATTATTCGGCAGTCAGTTTCCTTAGCAGTAAAATAAATCTATATGGTACATAAAGAATAAAATACTTAGCAATATTATGGCTAGTTTTATAATTATCCCAAATAGTGGCAGTTAGATGCCTGTTTCATGCAGCTTCGAGTCAGGTAGGAAAGCTGTCTAGCTCTAATTTCTGTCCTGTAATAAATTACACTGGCAGTTCTTTATAGGAGCAAAAAGGAAAGATAGTTTTCAAATTTATTTGGTATCTGTTAGAAGACACAACATCAAGGATGACAGTGTTACCAGCTTTACCTTGATAAACTTCCTGTGCATACAGGTCAACAAAATGCTGTGGGACCTGGAGCTGTAGGAACATATACCAGTTCTATGTCCCTTGGTTTTTTTTCAAGGTATACCTTAAAGATATGGTGAGTTATTCTTACATATACATGCTGGGTTGATAAAACAAATAAGTAGTTATTCTCAGAAGATTTGATTTAACCCATTCTTAAATATCAGAACCTACATCTCTCCTCCATTCTGAATTTTGGGAGCTCACACTTTACCTAGCACTTTCTGCATTCACTTGCAGATCATGTGAACGGTCACTGTACAAGTCCAACGTCCCAGAGCTGCAGTTCAGGAAAACGACTTTCCAGCGCAGATGTCTCAAAAGCAAACCGCCGAGGGCCTGGGAGGCCCCCCTTCAGAAAAGCGCAGTCTGCAGCCTGCATGGAGATTTCTCTCCCAGTCACCACAGAAGGTGGGTGACAATGAATATTCTGCTAGGTATTTGTGAATTTCTCACCTGGTGTGGAAGCAAGTAAGTTTAGCATGATCCTTGTCCTAGTCACTGCCCTGAACTGCCGTCTTCATCTGTTTAGCATTAGAACAACCCCTGTGTGTTAGTGTTGTTACTAACAAGCCTGCTCCTGAGCTCTGTGCTGCCTAGGGATGCGGTATGCTGAACCTCACTGAACTCTTACAGCCATCTCCTCGCCTGTACGGATTGGGTGCTTTGTTCCGGAAAAGCGATTGTTCATAGCAGCTTATGTACAGTTACTGTGACAGCTGGTAGTACTAATGTTTTAAACTCTCATTGTCTCTACTTGTCAAGTCTGAAAATGAGCAAGATATTTTTAGAATGTGAGGTCAGGCTTTGCGCGTGGATATTTATTTATTTATTGGTACTGAAGACTTTATAAAATTCCACAATCCCTGGCCACCATTTACAGTAAAATCATAGCCCATAATCAAATCATGTTTTTTCTGTTTATCATAAGTTTCTTGCTTTAATGCTTGAAAAAAGTCTTCAAATGTTGATCTACCTGAGTGCAGAGTTTTGATGAAACGGAGAGACCACTCATGGCAATGCATTGTGCTTAAAGCTTAGAATAAACCCATTTTAATTTCAGCAGTGCCAGCTATTTCACTGCAGATCATTTAAGCAGAAGCATTCAGCTAATGTGTTTTTCTTCAACCTTGACAGTATTCTCACTCTGCTGTTGGTGGCCTTGCCCTTGTCTCCCAGGCTTCCAGCTCGCCCACATTTCTGCAACAGGACAATGCGTTGTCTGTGCAGAAAAGCTTCAGTCTATCAAAACCTGAAAAAGTATAGCATCAAAATAAATGGTATAGGACTGTAATGTTGGTTGTATTCAATTTTAGTAATAGGTAAAAATTTAATAATATTTAAACAACAGAAAGGATAGAGTTTAATATTTTTAAAATAAAATAATTAATTTGAACAATTAACTCTTTTAAAAATCCAGGTTTTATTTTTAATCAAGTTGCAGAATTATTTCCTAAGTGCCTAAGAGATAATGATCTCCTACGTCTATTGTCTGGACTGTAACATGGCCCAAACCCCCTGTGATGCTATAAGTGATAGGCGAGGGACAACACCATGACCCTAGCCCTCTGTCTTGCAAGGATCTTTCTTATCCGAACCCACCCACGTTCAAAGTGTCTGCACCACAGAAGTGCTTTACAGCTGGAACCAGTACTCCTTAATTTTGCTGATCATCATTAATGGAGACAGTGCAAGGAGAATTATATCACCGAGAGTGTCTAATTTTGTATTTTTAAATGCACATTAATGCAAATACCTTTGTTATTAGTGACAAATTGCTAGAATATTTGATTTTTTTTTTCTTTATGATAACATAAAATAGCAAATTCTTTTTTTGTCCTCTCTTCTGACTACTGTGGGGATCACACAACAGAAAGACAGCGTCTACGTGTGTGAGACCCTGTAAGAAAACATCCTAATTTGGCATAGAGGGTTCCAAGACTAAGTTCTTAACTGGAATGGAGCTGATATGCCAAAGTCTGTTGCAGCGTTCTCTAGCAGCTCCTTCCATTTGATTTAAGAACAGCATTTACCCATCTCCTACCATTTGATTTAAGAACAGGACACAGAGCAAAGCATGGTCAGAGGCTCTCTGCAAAATGGCTGTGCTCGCTTCCAGCTACATCATTAGATCTTTGGTAGAAGTCACCTCCCGTTGCCAGAAGATATCACACCAAAACAAATACTGGTGGATGAGGGATCCTTTGAGTTGTCCCTTTCTGCTTAAGTACAGAAACATTTAGCTTAAACAGCTTTCTATATTGGGTTACATCATCCAGCTCCCTTTGCACTAAAGCAAATGGGAAATGACCACGTGATCTGTTTTTCTGACTTTACTAGACAAGTATTAACCTTCTGCAGAGGAACAGGGTCAAAAACTTGGGAGTAGTGACATTTCAACTGACACTGCTGTTTCTTCAGTGACCATCCAACCATCTCTCCTTTAGAATAATATTTCATTATCATGGACTCTTCAAAGATTAAGTAATAGGCTGAAAAGCAAAACTGTTAAATCACATTGTGGGCTTCTTGTAAGATATAACAAAGTGTAATCCTCAGCAATCAGTTAGAAGAAGTAATCCTGTTTAAATACTAAACCTACTCTAAATTTCAGTTTTAACTTAGATTAATTAATGGCTCCTGTGTGAACATTGTACTAAAGCAGATTTAGAGAACTCTGAGGTGTTTACAAATTCCTGTGCATAGGGTACTTTTCATCTGCATAATCACCATTTTTTCCTCCACGTTAGTTATTGCTGATGATCATAACATAACCCTTTCACCTACCTCTTTAGATATCACACAAATACACTAAGTACCATTGCCATATAATGGCTCATGGTGGAAAATATATCACTGTCACAGCAGTTTCTATTGCTGTGTGTTTTTCTACATCCTATGTAGTACCAAACTCTTCCGGAATTCTTGTATGCAGATACTGCTGCAGTATCAGCACTACTTGTACATAACCCAGCCACAGTACTACCTAATTCTTTTATGCTGCTGCTTTTCTTTTTCCCTCTCATCCTCCCAAAGTAAGTAGGGTCACTGGCAGGCAGAACCTACAACCCCCTAAGGTCCCACTGACCCTTGTGAACAAAACATGTAGTAATACAGTGATACTTTTGATGGAAAGATGATGCTTTCTGCATATCCATATCATGGAAGATTCTATTGTTCATCACTAATTATAATACCTGACAAGTTTAATATTAATGTATATCTCTCTCTGGAGATAGTCATCTAACTTCCTTTCAGGGATGTGGAGTAAATTAAAGTGACATAAGAAAATCCCTCTTTAAAAGTATCAATGGTGTCACTTAAATGGTATTACAACTCTCAGTAAGGTCAGTGAAATGACTGCTGCAAGAGAGAGCTAGACAGTCTTTAGAGTAATTTGTATTAACATGATATGATGGAGCACTGTTTGGGTTTGTCCTTGAGTGTGGGGGTTTGTGTACAAGTCACCTTTCAGCAGGTCTGTAGACTAAAATAATGTTCTGATTCTTTATATTCTCTCATTAAAACAAAGCCATCTGTCCAACTTGTCTAACTTTTTTTTTAGATGCCTACGGTATTAGTCTTTTGACTTCTAGCTCTACTAAGTAATCTATCTGGAATGACTGACATTCCTCCACTCCTCATGCATCTTGAATTTCTAGACATACTGTTTTGGCAAGTGGTTTGATTTATTTCTGAAGGTTTTTATACTAAATAATATGGTGGAAGGTGGTATGATCCTTGAAAGATTCTTAGGCTGGGGGTGAGGAGGAGGGAGAAGGAAGGTAAGAAGTTAAAAGGTTTGAGAAAGAATATACTGAGGATAAGCTTTCTCTCCAAAGTGTGGAGCTGGCTTTGATCAAAACCTTCTGGTTGCACTGTTCCAAAATAAAATTAAAAAATCCTCTCTATGCTAAGAATTTATTGGCTACTTAGGAGTATATGCTGCAATAAACAATAGATGTATTCACAAGAAATGATTTTTTTTATATATATATATATTCTCATGTGGTGAAGCAAGATACATATTTTATGTCCTCACTAGAGAGGTAGTATTTCAGGTTCATATTTGGTAGGATTTTATTATTCTACCTGAGCAGAATTTTGATTAGAGATTGCTATCTCAGTAGTGTTAAGCACTTTTTAAACATTTAAAAAAAAAAAAAAGCCTTTGTGTGTGGGTAGATGGTTCTTACCTCTTCTTAAGCCTGTCTCTGAGGCACTGATAGCACTTGGATATTTTTTAATAATGCTTCCAGTTCCTGCTCTTTACAACCTCTTCTAATTGATTTTATTAAAAAGATAATACATTTTGGTGACTAATCATAACACATCTATTAGAAGAATTAATCAGTCTTCTCACATTGGATTTCAAAATCTACTTATTTAAATCCGATCTTTTGGTACAATAGGAACTGTATTTCCAGCATTTTCATCAAGTGTATTTTCAAGCAATTTATTGTATTTCATACAATAAATTCTTCTGACTTCATTCCTGTTAGACGATTGTCAAGATTTTGCTGACTCTTACCTCTTTATATGTGCAGAAGGATTCCTGATATAGCAAAGCATTTTTGAAGAACATCTTTGCAATGATGAATCATAGGAAGAAAATGGAGGGGGAGAGGTGTCTTGTTTTCTGCTGGTCAAAATATTGCAAACTGTTCAGTTTCATAAAGTGCTGATATTTCTTCCATGCTCAGAAGAATAATTCAAAAGCTAAATAACAGTAGCAGAGGAATGGTGTCTATGCTTGCATGGTTACTGTTACTGCTTAAACCTATGTTTTTCCCAGTATTCTCATCTAACATGGAAAAACTTGAAAAGTTCTAATGCTTTTTAAACTCAAGTTATTCCAAGCTAAAGATTACTGCTATTTCCGTTTCAAAGCCTGGTGGCTTTTTTTTTTTTTCCCCTAAAATAACATTAATATCTAGATCAAATAGGTTGTTATAGTTATATTTTTGGTGGTAATTAGTCAGGCATTTAATACAGCACTTCTCAAATACCATTTATGCTATTTAAAATATTACATATTGTCCTGTAATATCTTCTGATTTCATCAGTGCAGTATTCTCACAGCTACACTAATAAATGTTGTAGTCACTCAATATTCTATATGTAATTTTAGCAAGAAATTAGAATTTTACAAGTTCTTAATAGACTATTATTGATTCTAAACAATCTGGTTTTCACGTAGTGTTGAGTAAGCTGTTTCTTCCTTGCGACAATATAAGAATTTATTTGCATTATAAACAAACCCACAAATATAGGAAATTCCATTGTTGAATTTCTGAATTCTAAATTTCTTCTAGTCATTTTTGACCAGAAGTTTTTGAGATTTTAGGAGTTAGTAATTGCATTTCTTTGATAAGGCTTTATTGCACAGGGTGTAAACTACATTGTCTGTT